TATCTAGGAATCTACCCACTTCTTCTATGTTTTCTCTTGTGTTAAAGTTTTTAAAGTAGCCATTTGTGATATGGATTTTGCTAGAACAATTGTGATTTCACCCTTTTCAATCCTTATTGCATGAATTCCAGTCTTCTTTCTTTCTTTTAAATAACATTAAGAGTTTTTCAATTTCATTTAAACTTTCAAGGGAACAATTCCTTGATTTTTTAAATGTATTTTGTAGAGGGTCTCACTCAACAGCTTGGACTCATATTGATCCTCTTGTTTTCAGCTCCCAGTGCTGGGATTACAGTTGTGTGCCACTATGTCTGGACTCAGTCACTGGCTCAATGTACCCAAGGCCTGGGCCAGTGCAGCCTGAGATACTGAGGTATCAAACTCTGCTTCCCATGCTTGCCAAAGAAGACACTTAGTGCACTGAGCTATCTCACCAACTCTGAGTCATTTATTATTTTTGTATTGTTTTCCTAGTCTCAATTGATGTCTTGCCTTATCTTTATAATTCCCTCCCTTTTGTGAACTTTGCATTTGATTTGTTCTTTCTTGATAAACTTGAAGTTCAACATTAGGCAATTTATTTGAGCTCACTGTTTTCCTGGTGTGAGAGTTCATTGTTACTAATTTTCCTATTAGGATCTTTCATTGCATTCCATAAGTTCTAATTTGTTTCATCAACATTACTGTTTAATTGTAGACATTTGAATTTCCTCTTTAATTTGATCTCTTGCCTATTGTTTATGTGGGGTTTTATTTGATTTCCATGTGTTTAAGGAGGTTTTTTGGTTTGTTTTGCCATTGATTTCCAATTTCATTTCAGTATGGTCTAATAATATGCAGGGGACAATTTCGATTACTTTTCATTTACTTAAGCATGTCTATGAGATATTATGTGATCTATTTTTGGAGTATTCAATGTTGTGCTGAAAAAATATGTGTTCTGATGTTGTGTGTTGGAACACTAGATATCTACTAGTCCATTTGTTTTCAGATTTCGCTTTATATGTTTCCTCCCAGGGGAAAGCATAAACGTAGTCCCCAACTACCACAAATTATCCAATTACGTTTCCCACATTTGGGGAAATTGCAAGGGTCAGCACATCCAGGGTACAGCGGGTAAGCCTCTCCCTGGGAGAATCTCCTTCTTGGTCATGGTGTCTTCCCTGCCAGGTAGGTATTAGTCTACATATCTGTTACAGTGTGGTATTAAGTTCCTGAATTACAATTGTATTAGTGCTTATTTGATTTTTCAAGTCTGTTAATATTTGTTTGATATAAGTGTGTGTCTCTGTATTTGGTGCATATGCATTTGAGTTTGAACTTGTCTTATACTTTCACCTTAACCATTATGTAGTGTTCTTCTTCACATTTTTTGATTAGTCTTGGCTTGAAGTTAACCTTGTCTCTTAATAGAATAGCTACCCCTTCTTTTTGCTGTGTTCTTGAGACATGGAGTACTGCTTTCTTCTCTTTGTCTTTCATTCATTCTATAAATTTCTCTCCTAGTTAAATGTGTTTCTTCAATCAAGCATATTTTTGGATCTTGTTTCAAGATCCATTGTGCCATTCCATTTCTTTTGATTAATGAATTGAAAATACTTACATTGGTATTATAACTGATATGCATCATTTTGTCTTTGTCATATGATGTTCCTGTTGATGATTCTTTATATTTGTCCTCTGTTTAATTGCTTCTCCTTTCTGGTAATTTCTTTCTATTAATACTCTTAGAATTGTGGGCTTTTTTTCTTTCTAGATTATCTTCCAGAACTCTTTATAGGACTGTTTATTGATCATGAATTTCTTCAATTTTTGTTTCACAT